GTATGTTATTCTAGTATTAAGTTATGCTTTATAAAATTTAAAAATGAGTCATGAAAGACCATTTTGTTCAACAATGTATTATTTGTATAGTCACAGAATTGGGGTGAGATGCTCTTATTTAATTTTTGAACAAAGTTTTAAAGTCTTGATATATTATTCTTTTGTGAGCTGTCCTTTCAATAGCAGATACAAGAGGATTTTTCAAAACTTCAGTTTTGACCAGAAGTTTTTTTCTGACAATAGTCTGTATATAGTGTTCAGTTTGCCATTCATTTGGTGTGTTTTCATACAGAGATAGTAAAAGGCATGAAAATAAACAACCTCCACAGAAATGATAGATCCTTAAGAACAGCAGAAAGGAAAAGACAAACAAGTACTTTTTTTCCAGACTGTGGGGAAACAAAGTCTCTAGGGGAAGGTGACTTTGTCCTGCACCTGCTCAACTGTCACCTCCACAGACAAGCTTACCTGACCGACTGCCTGAATTAGTAATCATTTATTCCGTGTCTGTGTCCCCCCGCTGGAGTAAAGACCCCCAAAGGACAGGGACTCTTCTTTGCAGAACCCCCTGCAGGCCTAGGAGAACGCCCGGCACATAATTAGGTGGGCAGTGATTACTTATTGGGTAAGTAAACCCAGTGAGTGGCAAATTTTAAAACGTAATAATCCTAGATGGACATTGCTTACATTCAAAGGATGACGATGAACTGGAATTTCCTGCACACTCATTCATCAAACTAAAATGATGCAAATCATCCAGAAAAGTACTTAAGACAGTTAAAAGTTAATTCTTTCTTAACACTTTCCTCAAGTGAAGCTTTGAGATCACACACATTGTATCTAACTTTTTAAATGGTCACATGTTTCAGATTTGGGCATGGCTTTCTAAGATTTCCCGAGCCCCTTGAAACATCTTTTCCAGACTTGGATACTTGGAGATGCTGCTCTAAACTCCTGAATGCAGAATTTGGAGGGGGCGTCACGGAATGGCTCTGGGAAGGTGACATTTGAGCCCCGATCTGAAGGAACAGTAGCTACCAGCACCACAGTGTCCAGCAAAGGGTTCCCAGAGGGAACGGCGAGGGCAAAGGTGGTGCGGTGGCAGCTAGCGTGGTCACTCGAGGCTGGAACTGAGGGTTGGAAAGAGAGCAGTAAGGTAGCGGATGTTATGGACCCTGGGAAGGAACTTGGATTTTATTCTCATTGCACAGAAGCCTATGGTAATTGTAACCTAGAGTGTGACATGCTCTGGTTTACCTCTTTAAAAGATGACCTGTTCTACTCCACGGAGAATGAGATGGTGGCAGTGAGAATTAAAAAAAAGAAACAAAAAGAGGGAAGGGAGCCATTTCTTTAGGCGTTACATTACTGTCAAGAGCAAAGCAATGTTCCTCCAAAACAGCAACTCTTCATTCAAAACGGTGAATGTTAACCTTTACCAAAGTTCTGAACATTCCTTTAGATCCAGGTCACTCCTGGTAGATGGCCTCCTGTGACTTCATGTTGGGAAGATCCCATCACACCCCAGGCCTTCGTGAGTAACTAGTACTTTCAGAATGTCTGGGCATTGGTCACACACTTTTTGTAGATGCAGTCGAAAAGCAAAGCATGTGTTAACATCCAGACTTCCTCTTTCTGAAAATAGTTTTGAAAAGCAGTTACAACTTGGAAGCTGTGTCCAAGCTGTTGGAAGACTGCATACAAGGGAAGAGAGCATAAAAGGAAGTGTTTAGCTGCCCTTTTGCATAAATGCCTTCCGGCTGTCTTTAGGTCTGTAGGCATCTTTGGTGGCTTTATCCCCAAACACTGTTCATCATTTCTTATAGTCGTGATGCCATAAAGAAAAGTAAATTTAAAAATTTCACATTCGCTGTATTCTCCCTCCATGGGAACAACAGAGAAAGCACGTCCAGCAAGAACAGAGTCGGGATATCACTGCTGAACTGGGATTCTCACAAAGCAGGAGAAGAAATCTCAGGAGAAGAAATGCGAAAGTAACCAAAACACTGCTGCGTCTTACCTCACTTTAACTAAGGGAAGTGAAAGTTGATACCAAGAAAGGGAAGAGTTAGACTGCCACTAAGTGAGAAACTGTAATGAACTCTACATGTATATTCAAAATGAAAATCAGAAGTTCTGAAATAATCCTCACGTGTCCCCTGAACAGATGAAAACTGCTAACGCTGAAGAGCGAAAATATTTTTTTAATGATTTTACAAATCTAAGCACTCCCCGCTCAAGACTACATCTATTTAGGTCAGTAGTGGAAACGTAATTTACTTGGGCCTTCCGAGGCTATTAGAAGTAAATCATTTTCATACCTCCTGGATTAGAAGAATTCTCCTATGTCTGCTACCAATTAAACTGAGCATTTCTTTTTATGGATTGCTGAAGCTGTAAAATAAAAACTTGCAATTATGGAGAAGTGAAAAAAGACGTGTGTTTCTCTCCCTCATTTTTATTCCTCAAATTTGAAATTGTGTTATGATTGACTCTTAAGAATCTCACTTTTTTTTAGCGTCTCTTCATAGGAAGATACTGGAGAGAGACTTTATTTCAGGCTAGAATGTGGAATGTCAAGACTTCACACATTGGAAATAAAAATTGGCACTGAAAATGGGGTTCCCAGAAGATAAGAATGTCATAAAAAAAATAGGTGATGCCAGAGAAGCCAAGAGTATACAGTGGGGAAAGACAGTCTTGTCAATAAATGGTGTTGGGAAACCTGAACAGCCACAAGCAAATGAATGAAACTAGGCTATCTTACATCATGCACAAAATTAACTCAAAATGGATTTACTATTTGAATGTAAGTACAGAAACCATAAAACTCCTAGAAGAAAACATAGGTGGTAGGCAGCTCCTTGACATTGGTTCTGGCAATGATTTTTTTGGATTTGGCTCCAAAAGCAAAAATAAACTAATAAGACTACATCAAACTGAAAAGCTTCTGCACAGCAAAGGAAATTAACAGCAAAATGAAAAATCAACCTACTGAATGGGAGAAAATATTTGTAAATAATGTACCTGATAAGGAGTTAATATCCAAAATATATGAAGAACACATACAACTCAATAGATAAACAAACAATCTGATTAAAAAATGGGAAGATCTGAACAGACATTTTTCTAAAGACTTACAGATGACCAGTACATGAAAAGATGCTCTGTATCATTAATCATCAGGAAAATGTGTATCAAAGCTAAAATGAATTATCACCTCACATCTGTTAGAATGGTTGCTATCAAAACAACGGGAGATAACAAGTGTTGGTGAGGATGGAGAAAAGGGAGCCCTTTGCACTCCTGGTGGGAATGTAAACTAGCACAGCCACCATGAAAAACAATATGGAGATTCCTTAAAATATTGAAAATAGAGCCACCATATAATCCAAGAATTCCACTTCAGTGTATTTATTCTAAGAAAACAAAGACACTAATTTGAAAATATACATGCACTCCCATGTTCATCACAGCTTTATTTACAATAGCCAAGATACAGAAGCAAGGTAAGTGTCCACTGGTGGATGAAGGAAAGAAAATGTGGTACCCATACACAGTGAAATACTATTCAGCCATAAAAAAGAACGAAATCTTGCCATTTTCCACAACATGTATAGACCTTAAGGGCACTATGCTAAGTGAAATAAGTCAGAGAAAGACAAATATCATATGATCTCACTCACATGTGGAATTGAAAAACAAAAAACAAAACAAGAAAAAGCCAAACTCACCAATACAAAGAACAGATTGATTTTTGCCAGAGATGAGGTGTGGGGGTGGGCAAATTGAGTAAAGGGGTCAATAGATGAAAACTTCCAATTCTAAAGTAAGTAAGTCATGAGGATGGGATGCACAGCTTGGTGTCATTATAGTTAACAAGACCTTATTGAATATTTGAAAGTTGTCCAGAGACTAGCTCTCAAAAGTCTTTAGTAGCTAGGAATGGTGACGATGTTAACTAGACTTACTGCGATCCTTTCACAATATATACAAATGTAGAATCACCGCATTGTTCACCTAAATCTAGTGTATTGTCATATGTCAATTATACCTCAATTAAAAAATATGAAACTAAGAAAAAAAATATGATGCCACAGATTGTATTCACCGGTGGGGTAAAATACAGAGATATATAACATATTGAAAAGTTTTACCACAGCTGGTTTGACATAAAGGAGAAAATTTCGTAGAGTATATTTCGTGACTGAAGATCAAATAAAATGGAATCAGTTTAGTGTGGCTAAACTGGAACAGATATTTTCATAAAAGAACACTTCTCGAGTGCAGGCCGTGTGCCAGATGTGCTGGGTGCCATGTGTACGTG